CTTAAACTCTGGGAGCCCAGCTAGTTTAACGTCGCTGAACAAAAGGCTGGTAGGGTGACAGGTAACAAGATCAACGGAAATAAGGTCAATTGATACTATTTCGCATACCTTTTCAACAGCGAAATAAAATCCATTGACATTATTGCTCATTCAATCATTAAATTCGTCGTGATATCGCTCGCCCCCGCGAGATGATGTTAGCCTTAGTTTTCCAGAGGACATCAACCATCCGGGCAGAGGCACCTTCCCCATTAAGGGTCCGGACATTCCAGGTGCATACCATCAAATCATAGTCCCTAATACGTTTGCCGTGGTCGTCATCAGAAAAAGGGGGTTTCATCCGAGGCTGTTTTTTGTTTTTCATTGGGCGGGGTTTTAACGTGGTGGGACCCAAACCCAGCGCACGTGAAGTTTTACGCCTTCTGACTTAAGCTCTCTCCCAGACGGATGTTTGGTAGCTACCCAGAGGATTTGGATGATTTTGCAGTTTTATTTAATACTTTTCTCTATTGCTGCCGATTTCGGATTCAACCATCGGTGTACCATAGTCTCCATGTATATTTTCGTTGCGGACATATCACGGGAGGCTAAGGCCCATAGCGTTTTTAATTGAAATCTTTGGATCCTGTCAATGTTGGTTGCACAGGTCATACCCCACAGTTGAATATCATGCATCCATATCGACTGTTCAGTGGAAGATCGACCTACCTCTGTAGCCTATCGTTCGAGATACATCATTCGAGGCATCGTCTAAATTAAAAAGGACCGCTAGATCACGATGTTGCTGGCAAATGAAGATGACACTGATAATGCCGGCTTGTGATCCAGAGACTTCAACGCAGCATTTTCCAGCTCAGTAAAAGAGGTCAGTCTACATAGTACCCCCTAAGAACACACAAAGTGTTTTCTCGCATCGGGAGACACGTCAATGTTGGCAGTTGTAATTTTGCAGTAGTGAAAGATCAAAGGTAATGTAAGCCTGGAAATCAAGCCTGCTGCCAACAGGTGCTGCTTTGGGCTAGGTAGATAATTAAAAAACAGAACATTATTTAAACGAACAAAAACTACAATCTACAAGTATCTCTTCATACCCGTTCTATTAGTTATATGGCGCAGAAACGGCGACGAAGCCGAAAAAAGGTGATACGATTTTGGAGTCTATTCTATGCACGATCTATGACCCTGTTCGGGTGAGTGGCGCTAACTCGAGAATAGTTGGAGAAATAAATTTAACAGTATTTTATAGCTTTGTGATGGAGAACTAGTAGTTGAATAAAAAATGGATTCCTTGACGAGAGTATAAAAAAAAAAATAAAAAATTGCATTGCATACTTATTTGAGATCATAAAATGTGAAAAACCAGAGCTCCCTACTTTTTAGGGTCCTCTGAAAGGTCATGGTAATTTTTTGAAGTGAAACTTCTTTACCGGCGGTTGGTTGGTTGGGAGCAAATTGGCAAATTCAAAGGAAATTGCACATGGATACGGTGCAACGGAAATGATGCAACGGAAACGGTGCAACGGAAATGGTTGGTGCTGAAACAAGTGCTTCTTGTGTGTATGCATATGGTATTAGCTTAACAAAAATTTGCTAATAAAAGGTTAAAGAATAACACTTAGAAAAAGACCAATACAAGAATGAAAGTAAAAGTGACTACGTACTAAGATAAAGAAAAGGATAAAGGCAAAGATAAAAATAAAAACAAAAACAAAGATGCGTAAAGATAATGGCAAAAATGAAGACCAAGGTGAATTTAAACACTTTACTTATATATATAAGGGCAAAGGTGAAGGGGAATATGTAGATGAAGAAAATGATAAACATAAAAGTAAAGGCAACGAGGAGGATGAGGATACCGATAAAAGAAAAGATGAAGATAGGGGAAGAAAGATTAAAATATTTAAAGGTAATTAAAGAGGAAAGGATATAGAGAGAGACACAGAGACTCAATATGGGAACTATTTTGGGATTTTAGAGATTTTCGGGATTCTCGGGACTTATCGATATAATAATCGATATGTTTATCGGTCTTGTTATCGATATTTTTATTGATTTTGTTATCGATATTTTTATCGATTTTATTATCGATATTTTTATTGATTTTATTATCGATATTTATAGATTTTGTTATCGATTTTGTAATCAATATTTATCGATTTTGTTATCGATATTTATCGATTTTCTAATCGATATTTATCGATTTTGTAATCGATATTTATCGATTTTGTAATCGATTTTGTCACCGATATTTATCGATTTGGTTATTTATATTTTTATCGATTTTGTTATCGGTATTTTTATAGATATTTTTATCGATTTTGTTATCGATATTTTTGTCGATTTTGTTATCGATATTTATCGATTTTTTTTCATTAGAATAATATAAATGGAATTAGATAGAAAAAAGAAAAAAAATTGGACCTTAGCAAAAGCAGATGTATATATGTATATTAGCATACATCTTCACCTGTGGTTTCGCTTTCACTTGGTTGGACGCGCTGTTCCACTCTGCCGCGTATAGACCAAAAACTAAGAAAGGTTAGTCTCTTTTCGGTGCACCAACAAAACAGAAACCAACTCAAATTTTTGAGAGTTGACGATTAAAATACTTTATAAATATAAGAAGTTATTGCAAAATCACACTGTAAGTAGCGTTCTAACTTAGCTTCATTTAGTTCTTGCTATTAAATGACCAAAGATCGTATCATCAACGTGTGATTCCCCGTTGGCTAAAAAAACAGCAAACCAAACATGTCGATGATAATAACAGGTTATTTAATATGTAGTAAGTATCTACAAAGGCCAGCAATGTGAATTTAGTGCTACTGACTAATAAAAGTAATTGACAAAATGAATGTGAATTTAGTGCTACTGACTAATAAAAGTAATTGACAAAAAAGTACACAGGTATTTATTTGATATGAATGTACTTCGAATACGTACTATTATGTATATAAACTTACTTATGTACATATGAATGGCTTAGATATTATTAGTAAGAATACATACCCTGAATGCTATAAATTCATGCACTTATACTTATGTGCATTAGGGTGGCCTAAAAAAAAAGATGAGTCGGAATCTTAATACTCTCACCCAATATACTAAATTACTTACTTAAAATTTTTTTAATATTAACTATTTTTTATGAAGCCCTCAAAAACCCCCCCGAAAAAATAGAAGTATCCATAAAAAATCGGTATTATGCTTTAAAGTCTCCTGATTAGAAACAGAGTTTGCCGATTGGAAAATATTGATTTTCAATGATTATATGATTATATTTCTACGAAACATAGTTTTTTCTTAAAATAAAATGCATACAAAACTATTTTTTTTAAATTTAAAACTGGCAAATACTCACTGCGCCTTAAATGTGTTTTGTACCCGTATTGTAATATTTAATGTATTTTATAAATTTCATTTCGTCCAGTTTTTCAAACAGTTGGCAACCCTCCTCAAATTCATTTTCGGCAGTAAACTTACCTAAACCTCTTCAGTTTTATACCCATATTGCAATAATAAATTTATATTTTCAATTAAATTAAATTAAAATTTTCAAACAGGTGGCAGCCTTCAACAAAAATATTTTCGGCTGTAAGACTTCTTAAACCTCTTTGCTCTGCCAGCCAAGTTTCAGTATTTACTTTCTCCTATCAATTTACTTAAACTGCAATTTACAAACAGGTGGCAGCTCTCCAATTTTTTTCTTTCTATGTTTTAAGTAACGCCTCTAGCAATACATCGGTGAAAAGTGTTTTCAATTCTATGCATTAATTTTCGAGTGATGCGCATACAAATTAATTTTTCTTTAATATCTATAATGTACAGACAATGTTACAATTTTATTATATGTATAGAAATAGTGGGTATATGTTTTTGATATAGAACAATCCTAGGGTGTCAGAGCATTAAAATTCCATCTTTACTTTTCTCACACGCATTTCTGGATCACTCTAATACACATATGCAGGTACATACATGCTTGTTATAATATTTTCTTTCGAGGAAAGGTCATTAGTATGCATTATATGTTTGTAATTGATTGGCACTTACACAATATTACCATATTGTGTTTGGCTCAGTTTCCCCTCCGATTTGGGGTGTGCGCCTTAATGTTGTTACACAAAGGGGAGGGACCTACAGTTTTACGCCAACTCCGAACGGCGATTATATTTCTATGAGAAGCTGTTTTTTCATGACAGAAATACAGTCGGAGGTTTGCCATTGCCTGCCGAGAAGGGTGGGTGCTATTCATTTTCCGGGCTTGAACTCAGGCACACTGCTAGCCACTACACCACAGCGGCCGCATGTTAATTAGACCGGGTCAATGCCCATATGAAAGAAAAATAGTTGTAATTAACTCCACCTCCCCACTGTGGTGGGTATAGTTTAGCTGTTTACTTTGTGAGGAGTTTTTCACTGCCTACGCCAGTGATGGGCAAAATTGTATTTACTAAATACTATTTAAAAAATGTAACAAACATCGTCGCTGAAATACAAAAAGTCGTAACTAGTAAAAAATTCAAAATTAAGTTTTTGATTGATATGATGGATTTCATCGAAATAAAACTCCCACATCATTTTATGAAAAAAAAATAAAAAATATTAGTCACGACTTTTTCCATTTCAGTTAAATGCAATATTTTGCAAATCGCAGCGACTTCAAATCGTACGAGTTACAGAACAGGCTGTATATGGGTATTTAGTAACAAAAAGGCTCTTTAAAATATAAAAGAATTTAAGTACCTATGCCCATCACTGGCGCACCCTAATGTTCATTTAGTAATTCATCACTACCATACAAATTTCTTTTGGTTATCTATCTTTAGACCACTTATAGTCACGTATCGTTCAGCACTAGCCATATTTCTTTGATTTAATTTTGATTGTCGATTATTTATATGCACAACATATTTAGTATGCATGTATGTATGTATGCATGTACATACCACACATAAATTAAGTACAATATTTTATTTGTACTCTCTTCATTTAATTTCAGCTGCCCACACACTCAGCAATGCGAAACAATTCGTTAATCAAAACATTGCGTTCAATTAAATATTAAAACTTGATTGCCGCGTATGGTCGATTGGTCGGACGGTCGGACGGTCGGACGGTGGGGGTCTGCTGAGTCAATACTTTGGAAGTGTTAGCTGCGCTACTATACCCTTGCAGGTAAACAACTATAGTATAATAAAAATACGTATGTACTTACACACATACATACATACGTACCTCTTACCACTCAGTTGGCTGTTTGGTTGCTGCTCACCTGTAAATATTCAAAAATCCGCTAGTCATTGTCGCAGTCGAACGTTGAAAGTGCGCGCCCACAGAAGCTAGCTGAATATTTATTCGCATGTGCAGAAATCGTTTGCCGCCGTGAAATCAATTACATACTAATTTCATTTGCATACAAAACTACACAAAGTGAGATATTTTTATACACTGTTGTTTTAGTTGCCGGCAGCGCAATGCAATTCATTTCAAATATTAACGCCTACAAATTGCCGACAAGAGGCGCTGCTGCTGCTGCGGTTGCATTTTTGCCAGTTCTCTGCATTTTATCTTTTATCAATGGTTCTGCGGCACACATTGGCGCTCGACAACGCATCAACGCGTATGGCGATGTCAACGATGACGTTACGGTGAATGTGAATGCGGAGAATACGCGCCCAATCATCGGTATTCTCACACAGGAAGTGTCAAATTTTGTGCTGCGCCATTATCCGGAAAAGGATTACAAGAGTTATATAGCCGCTTCGTATGTGAAATTTGTTGAGGGTGCCGGCGGACGTGTGGTGCCGATTTGGTGAGTTTAAAGTCATTGTTCATTTACATTTGCACATATGTATTTGTGTGCTCATTTAAATTGTTATAAATATGCATTAGTAGGTTTGTGTGTATTGACAATTGATAACGATGAACTTTTAATTAAGTGCGGTGCTATGCATATGTAATGGCATTGATGATGTGTCCTAGTAGACAATTTTCGCTGTTGAGACGACAAAAACAAATGTTTATTCTACCAACTGTGGCAACATAAGTGACACAATTTTTGGTTATAATGTTCATAAAGTATTGGCGCAAGATGTCAGTGACTTTTTAGAGCAATGTCTCAAAAAAAGGGTAGGAGAATTACACTTTAACACCAGATAGCCTGGAAAGACTGAATACTTATGAATTTTATAAAAAAAAAAAAATTTTTAATTAAAAAATTTAAAAACAAAAGTGGCGAAATACCAATTTATACAAGCAAAAGAAATATTGACAGTCAAATATGAAAATGTTTCAAATCACCACTAGAATATTATAGGCTATAAAACTGCAACCCAAAAATGTGCTAAAGATTCAGATTAAAAAGTTGAAATTATGGTAAAAATTTGTTGAATTTTCCTAAATTTTGTATAAAGTTTGAAACTGAGTTATTTGTTTGGATAAGCTTGGAAGTTATTTTTATAGAAAAATAACAAAAAAAAAAAAAATCAGCTTGAAAAAAATTACGAATATTTAAAAAATCAACACGTGGTCATTTGTTTGTTCTTTTAAAACATTAACACGTAAAAATTAAATAAAATTTTTTTGTCGTTAATCTTTGTCATATATCGAATATTAAAGTATGACACAACGATGCTTTTATGTCGAGGCGACACCTTTTTTGTTCCAAAGTTCATTAACCTCAAGTAACCCATTCTAGTATTTACCCACCAGATCTTATCACCCTAACATACCTCCTTAATGTCAATAAATTAAAACTCGCCAAAAATCATTAAAATTTTGCCAAGGACGCATTTCGATTTGAAGGCAATTTCGATATTTTTTTTTGGCCGAGCGTAAGGATTGCCATTTTACATTTTTCGTCATATTATCGCGATAGTATGATAAATCAATGTTTTTGTCTTGAATTGGCAATTTTTTGCAGTAAAGTTCATTGACCTCAAATAACTCGTTCTAGTACTTACTCACTAGATCTCAGTTCTTATCACCCTAACGTGCCACCCTAATGCCAACAAATAAAATCTCACCAAAAATAAGTAAACTTTTGCTAAGGAAGCATTTCGATTATTTCAGTAGAACTATTTAAAAAAATGATTACTGCCTGGCTAAATGAGTTTAGCTGTTCCCCCCTATTGTCTATGGTGAATGG